CATCCCAGCTATTCGGGAGGCTGAAGTAGGAGAATCACTTGAACCTGCGGGCCAAAGGTTGCAGTGAGCCAAGATCACGCCACTGCACTCCAGCCTGGGGGACAGAGCCAGACTATCTCAAAAAAAAAAAAAAAAAAAGAGAAAAATCACACCAGCTAGATTTCCTCCTGATATCTCAGGGTAGCTGAGCCAGGAAGGTTCTGCTCCAGCAGGCTGGGGAGCATCCACTTACCCATGAAAAGGAGTATTTGGAGGTTCATTTTAGGGGCCAATACCAGATAGTCCAGGACCAAAAGGTCTTCTTATTTTTATCCCTTTATATTTCTAATAGGAAATGAAAGAGTAGACAACAGAGTCTAGTTTCTGTATTGCAGCTGGGGAAGAGACAGGAAGAGCGGAATCCACCAGCACAGTGAGTGAGTCAGAAAGAAAGTACTCAAAATGTCAGTGAGGAGCTGAGGAACTCACCACATGAGTGCTTTGAGCATGCAAAAGGTTCAGCTGAATTCTGACTGGATTTGTCCTAAGCAAAGCAAAAACCAGGGTCCTTTGAATATACGGGACACAAAGCTCTTCTTATAGAACAAATTCGACTGAGTCTTTGGGGAAACAACTGCATCAGACAGTGGGAGCTAACTAACAGTGGGTGTGCCACACAGCACCACGTGGCTCCAACCTGTGGCTCCATTTGCTTCTATCCTTACAGTCACAGCCTTTGGTTGTATTGGGGCAGTTTGGTGGACCAGGTAAACAGGTATCCTTTGCACAGGAGAACACCTTTAAGAAACTCGCACCTGCTACGCTTTTCAGGTAACTGGACCTCACCTCAAATCTACCTGGTACAAGTATAACTAAAATTAAGAGCAGAAGAGAAGTCTAGTTTGTATTCTTTTAGAATTCTAATCCCCAAATATTTGCCAGATATCAGTTACTCAGAAAACTTTCTGATATAAAAAAGGCCTCACCCATTTACCCTGTTCCCAACTTACTGTCACATTCCAGCAGACACTGAAAAGCTGAACAAGGGAAACCTTATCCCTGCTCGAGTTGGTTGAGTTTCTCCTCTCTTCCTCTCCTTGTCACTGTTGCCCACATACTGTAGTTTGGAAGTAAGAAAAGAAGAAACTCTTAAAAATATCTCGTTATTTTCCTCTAAAAATTTTAGGGATAAAAGCATCAGATCCTATGACCCATGTCTGAGATCCAATATTGCCTGGATTCCCTGTTTGGAAACTTTAGAGAGGTTTACAATCACACTTTCTCTTTTCACTTCTTCCCTTCATGCCAGTTGCCTGGGCAAAGTGGCTGTCCTTGTGTTTTGACATTCCAGCTTCCTAGACCCATAACTCTATCCCAGTAATTTCTGAGAGAAGCAGCAGCTACTTTCTATATATTATATCTTCAAGATGTCCCACCCTGCTTTCTGTAAATTGGACATAAAGCTCTTTTTTTTTTAGAATGGAAGGAAGAATCATCTTTTGACTTGTCTTCATTTTTGGAAAGAGCTTTAAGGTCTAGCATACTTCTGATACCTGAAGTCCATTCTAATTATAATATCCCATAATTCCAGAAAATGTTTCTCAAAGTTTGTTCCACTGAACAAAATGTTTACTGAATATTCTAAAATCAAATAATTTTGAAAAAACTGTAAATTTTGAAAATCTCCCCTTCTTGGAGATTATGTCCATTAGTATAGTCAAGGCTCTAAGAAACTGTAAAGATACCAGTTTTCTTGTCTTTTTCAATTATATTTAACCCAGTTACTCCATTTCACATAAAACCCATTAATATCTACCTGACTTCCTTAAGAAAGGCTGTCCTTGAAAACATGGGAGCATCTGGTTTCCTAATTTTCACAACGCAGATCAATCAATGACTCTAAGCTGTGTTAAGGAAAGCATTTAAAACTTTTACAAAGCTCCATATACAACGAAGTTAATCACGAAGTTGTAATAACAAAAACCTGGAAACAAATACCTTAAAGGAGGGATTGAGAAAATATATTATGGTGTGATTGTGTCACAGAATATTATGTGGTCACTAACAATATTTACAAGCATTTCTTAAAAACCTATGAAAACGTAAAATATCTGGTGAAACACTATATAGCATGATTTCAACTACATATAAGAAATATGCATACAGGTGCAGTGGCTCATGCCTGTAATCCCAGCACTTCAGGAGACTGAGATGGGCAGATCATTTGAGGCCAGGAGTTCAACACAAGCCTGGCCAACATGGCCAGACCCCATCTCTACTAAAAATAAAAAAAATTAGCGGGGCATGGTGTTACCTGCCTGTAATCCCAGCTACTCAGGAGGCTGAGGCACGAGAATTGCCTGAACCTGGGAGGTGGAAGTTGCAGCGAGCCAAGATTGTGCCACTGCACTCCAGCCTGGGTGACAGAGCAAGACTGTCTCAAAAAAAAAAAAAATGCATAGAAAATATATTGATTTAAACGTCTTCTGGGTCAACTGCGCACAACACCTGGCTTTTTTTTTTTTTTTTTCCCCTCCCTTTTAGAGACAGGGTCTTGCCATATTGCCCAAGCTGGTCTTGAACTGGCCTCAAGTGATTCTCCCATCTTATCCTCCCAAAGTGCTGGGATTACAGGCATGTGCCACCACACCTGGCTACTAATATATTTTTAAGGCCTCCCTTTTAAGTGGCTTGATGAGCCTACAATAAGATAAGGAAAGGCCAATGAAATTAGGAACTTTGCCTACCTTGCCAGTGTGGGAGAATGGTGAGCTCTGAAGGGGCTAAAAACCTTGAAACAGTCTAGAATAGTGGTCCTCAGCAGGGATGGTACTGCCCCCCAGGGAGCAATTAGGAAATAAGTGGGAGCATTTTTGGTTATCACAGTTAGAGGCCATTATTGGCATTTAATGGGTGAGGAGTCGAAGATCAGAGACATCCTGAAAGGTACAGGGCAGTACCTTAATTGTCCTATGTCTCCTGACTTTCAAATGGCTCTCCAGCCAGTGATGTAGGTGAAGCACGTTTATAATCATTTGAGCCTAGAGCCTAACTCTGTTTTATATTACTTTAATATATACAGAAATTTTCAGGAATTCCACCACTGTGTAAATCAAGGGTAGACTAAACTTTGTTTTATTTGGAAAATTTTCAAAGGTTGTTCACCATTTTGGAGAACAATATTGCCAATAGCAATGGTATTCAAGTCACCAAAGCAACATATTCATATCAGTTAGCATTTCTAGTCTTTATACCTATGGCGACTATGCATATGGGAGTGAACCCTTGATTACTTCAGTATGTCTTCTAGTGTGGTAGAATCTGAGCATTTATGTATTAAAACACTTAAAATTTTACTACAAACTCCTTTTACTTCCTCTATCACATTTATGGCATATTAATTTTGGTTGAAGTGGTGTGGAATCATATGCAATTATCTACAAACTTCATTGAAGTGGAGACATTACAAAATATTTGTTATAAATATACAAATATAAACGTTTGTTATAAAATACAAATATTTGTTATAAAATGGGGCATTCAGTCTAATGAGGCTGAAAATCACTATAGTATATGCTCCCTACAACTTGCTTTTCTCCTTATCAAGTCTTAGAAATTTCCACATACGTAGTATGGGCATACCATAATCTATTCATATATTTCCTATTAATGGACATACAGGTTATTTCTAATTTTGTGCTATTAGAAACAATGAATATAATGAAATCTTCCCACATGCACTTTTGTGCACACGTGCAAGTATTTCTCAGAGGTAGATTTTAAGATGTGAAAGTGCCAGATCAAGAGTTTTAATATCTGTAAATCTTTGGAGATAAAAATGTTTTCTCAAGTTGCATTTCCCTAACACTAGTCAAGCTGAACATCTTTTCAAACATTTTTGGCCATGCTATTGTCTTGTTTGTTTGGCAATTCATATTTCTGTCATTTTGGGGAGAATTGATTTATAGTTATTCACATATTCTGACTATAAGTTAATATATATGTTGGGAATCACTTTCTCCTATTCTGTTGCCTATCTTTTAACTTTTATCATAGAGAAGTTTTAAATTTTGATATAGTCAAATTTATGATTTTATGTTTCTGGCCTCCTCAAAAGGCTTTCTCTACCTCTAGACATAGTTTTCAACAGGTGTATAATACTCCATTTTATGGATGTACCACAATTTATAATACTATTGAAAATTTAGCTTTTTCAAACAACTAAGTGTTCAACATGATGTTTTTTGTTTTTTGTTTTTTTTCTTTTTTGAGACGGAGTCTGGCTCTGTCGCCCAGGCTGGAGTGCAGTGGCCGGATCTCAGCTCACTGCACGGGGTTTCACCACGTTGTTTTTAGCACGCATCTTAGTGACTAGCAAACGGAGCATAATAAATGTTTCTTGAATGAGAATGGGAAGACAGGAACCTTGAATGCGAGTGTGGAAAAAAGTTATGCTTAAAAATGCAACCCAGGCCGGGCATGGTGGCTCAAGCCTGTAATCCTAGCACTTTGGGAGGCCGAGACAGGTGGATCACGAGGTCAGGAGAGCGAGACCATCCTGGCTAACCCGTTGAAAACCGGTCTCTACTAAAAAATACAAAAAACTAGCCGGGCGAGGTGGGGGGCGTCTGTAGTCCCAGCTACTCGGGAGGCTGAGGCAGGAGAATGGTGTAAACCCAGGAGGCAGAGCTTGCAGTGAGCTGAGATCCAGCCACTGCACTCCAGCCTGGGTGACAGAGCGAGACTCCGTCTCAAAAAAAAAAAAAAAAAAGAAAATGCAACCCAATGTCAACCAAATTACTGGGGAATTAGCCCTACAACAGTACTCTTCCTTTAGCCAGCTACTCAAGAGTTGATTCTGCTTCTAAAATCTAGGCGCAGAAGTAAAGCTTCATCTTCCCCCATAAGATTGCCCTTCCAAAGAGTGGAACAACTACCTGCGAGAAGCCTGTGATCACATACCTGAGTCCTCCTCCTCATCCTGACTTCAATTTTAGGGTACCTCTTTGCTTGATGAGTCTTCAAGGTTTACATCTTAGAAGGTTAAGAATGGACCTAAGAAGAGGAGGCAGAGGGAAGAGAAGCCTCGTTTTCAGGAGCCTGGGCTGCTGCAGATTCATGAGACCTGGCTCCAGATCCAGCAGGTGAGGCTCTGTATCCCGCAGGCAGGCCTTCATTTCCTGCAGGTGGGGCTTCATAGCCAAGAGGTGGAGCTCCATATCCTGCAGGTGAGGCTCTGTATCCCACAGGCGGGCCTTCATTTCCTGCAGGTTGGGCTCCATATCCTGCAGGTGGGGCCCCGTATCCAGGAGGTGGGGCTCCATATCCCTGTCTCTTATACACATCTAGATGTGTATAAGAGACAGGCACTGGAGCCTCCAGCCTGGGCGACAGAGTAAGACCTTGTCTCAAAAAAAAAAAAAAAAAAAAGAACTATGACCCTTGTCCTGAATGGCATGCTTCTTAAGAGCAGAGATTGTGTCTCATTTGCCTGTGCTTATTCCAGGCCTAGCATAGCACCTAATCATAATAGATACTCAGAAAAAAATTCTAAGTGAGGATTCTACCAAGTTGGTAAGATATATCCATTAAAGACCAAAGTAAGGCAGTGTGGTACAGAACACTTTTGTCTTGTCTCCCCTCTGCATGTCTCTCATAAGAACACTTGTGACGGCATTTAGGGGCCACCTAAATAATCTACAGAAATCTTGTCATCTCAAGATCCTTAAATTAATTACATCTACAAACACCCTTTTTACAAACAAAGTAACATTCACAGGTTCTGAGGATTGGGATGGGGATACATCTGTGGATCCATTAGCAGCCTATCACACTGAGTTCTACCTATGGCATGTGACCAGACGTAATGTACAGTTTCCAGACCTGGCCCATAAAAATTTCCCAGGGGAGATCTTTATTCCCTTCTCTGTTGGCTGTACAAAGAGGCCATGGGAGCCATGGGTTAAAGATCGCAAGGACCGGCCAGGCGTGCTGGCTCACACCTGTGATTCCAGCACTCTAGGAGGCTGAGGTGGGTGTATCGCCTGAGGTCAGGAGTTCGAGACCAGCCTGACCAACATGGTGAAACCCTGTGTCTACTAAAAATACAAAAAATAGCTGGGTGTGGTGGCAGATGCCTGTAATCCCAGCTACTTGGAAGGCTGAGGCAGCAGAATCGCTTGAACCTGGGAGGTGGAGGTTGCAGTGAGCCGAGATCACACCATTGCACTTCAGCCTGGGCAATAAGAGTGAAACTCTGTCTCAAAAGAAAAAAAAAAAAAAAAAGATAGCAAGGACCCTATTACCCTGGATCATTTGTGGAACACAGCCTCCTCTTGCCCCTGCTGATTGGTCTTTATATAAGCAGTAATATCTACTGTCTTAAGCATTGATAATTTGGAGTTTATCTGTTTCAGCGGCT